ACATAAAAAATAAGGTACACGCATGTATTCAAACAATTAAGTGAAAAAGTGAAGAATTAAATAAAAAAAACGGTGTTAAATGCAGTATTCAAGATGTATTTTTCACTTTGATGCAAAATGATTGTTACCATAATTTTTTACATGTCTTAGAGTGTAGGAAAAAAATTTAAAATGTCAAAAAAGAATGAAAATTAACCTGTAGAAATTTAAGTGAAAAAATGTGTCTAATTTCAGTATTAAAAATGAACCGTTGAGTTTTGGATTGCACCATAAATTTCTACGCACATTGAAACCTAGGAAATAGTTTTAAAATTTCAAAAAAGCATAAAAAATAAGGTATATACATGTATGCAAACAATTAATTGAAAAATAAGTGGAAAAAAAATTAATAATTAAAATTCATTTTTATGGAAAATGGTTTTTACCATTAAATTCTACGCCTTTTATAGTGTAGGAAACAATTTTAAAAATTCAAAAAAAACTCGAAAAATAAGCCATAAAAAATTAAATAAAAAACCGTGTGTACACGCGGAATCCGCGTTTGCCGCGCGCAGCAGAAACCGTGTGTAAACGCGGATTTACCGCGTGTTTTTATTAACTCCCTTTTTCAAAAACATTTGTTTTTATTTTTTCATATTCATTTTCTGGGACCTATTATGCACCACCTTACCAAGTCTCATGACTTCAAGTCTGTGTTTCAGAGCTCTGGAATCCAAAATAAGCAGCCACATTTCACTGTCTACCCACTGTACCAAGGAAAAATTGGATACCAGGAACAGTAGGAACACTTTATCATAAAGTGAACAGGAGATAATGAATGAAATTCTGAGAGATGAGAGAAATAAGGGCTGAATGTTGATATCTCTATAACTGTTTGTGCAGTGGCTAGGCAGAAGTTTTCACCGCACTGTTTTGGAATCTAGAAACTCAAACCACCCACCAAACGTCTTTGAAGAAATTAGGGGGTATCAAATATAACCAAATCCACCATTATTTAATTGACTGGTTTGAAAAAATCCACCCTTTTTTAAACATGTTGGTTATTCATTTGACCCCTTTTGGGGTCCATTGATGCCAAAAAAAATTTAAGGAAAAGTGACTGGTTTTGAATGGTGGATTTCCTATATTTGATACCCCCTATTGAGATCAAAGACGGGAGAATTATTGTGAAACAAAAACAGTTTTTGTTGGAATGACTCAAGGTTTGAAACAGGAGTGAGAGAGCCAATGATTATTTATTCACTGTTAGAGCCTACGTGTTAAATAGACTACATACAATGAGTTCAATCTTTGGTTTGAGAAAAAATTGAATATGAAAATGAATAACAAAAATTAACATTAGGTTGAAAGGATGACTGGAGTAAATGAAGGTAGATAAAGACTAGACCAGGGTCCAAAGAGTACAAGGATTTCAGCACTAGACAACATGACAAGATACCACACAGAAACCAACAAAACAATGTGAAAATCAGGGGTATTATTCATCTGATCATTATTCATTGAAAGGTGAGATAGATGAGTTTTTAGGGATGAGAAGAAAAGAGATGAAATTTAAATCTAATGAAATTC